AACGTGTGTCCCGGTGAACAAGTCTACGGGTACTGACATCCTTAGTTCAGCGCCTATCTCTCTCTCTCTCTCTCTCTCATTGCTTCACCCCCTTTCTTTTATCTGTCTCTCTCTCCTTCACTCCCTTTCTTTTCTCTCTGTCTCTCCTTCACTCCCTTTCTTTTCTCTCTCTCTCTCCTTCACTCCCTTTCTTTTATCTCTCTCTCTCCTTCACTCCTTCTCTTTTATCTCTCTCTCTCTCTCTTACTCCCAAGATTCTCTCACGCTCTCTCTCTCTCTCTGTTATACGATAAATATATTAGCTGCTTAGGTGTTGGAAGAAGTTAGGTTAGGTTAGGTTAGGTTATAGTAGGAGCAGTTATAGATACGCTATACTACGAGTTATAGAGAGGATATATTATGTTATACAAGGTTATACTAAGTCAGATTATACTACCTGTTCATCCCTTGCTATAAAATTATATATGTAAATTTATACCACACTTCATGGCTTCCTACCCCCCCCCAACGGCGGAGGGAGAGAGGTGGATGGATGATGGATAGAAAGTCCTCTATTTGTCTATCTTTATCCAGAATAGATCATTACGGATAACACTCAGCAGACAGACCAATCACAGAAGAGGTAACAAGTCCACCAATCCCGGAACAGTTACGGAAATTCACCAATCATAGAACAAATACCTAAATCAACCAATCAGAGAACAGCTACCAAAATCCACCAATTATGGAACGGCAATCCAATCCACCAATCACAGAAAAGGTACCCGAGACACCCTACAGGTACACGAGACATCCTACAGGTACTCGAGACATCCTACAGGTACTCGAGACATCCTACAGGTACTTTAGACACCCTACAGGTACACGAGACATCCTACAGGTACTCGAGACATCCTACAGGTACTTTAGACACCCTACAGGTACTGAGAGACATCCTACAGGTACACGAGACCTCCTACAGGTACACGAGACACCCTACAGGCACACAGACACCCTACAGGTACACGAGACATCCTACACGAGACACCCTACAGGCACACGAGACACCCTACAGGTACACGAGAGACATCCTACAGGTACTGACATCCCACAGGTACCCGAGATCCTACAGGTACTGAGACATCCTACAGGTACTCGACACCCTTTACAGGTACTCGAGACATCCTACAGGTACACGAGACATCCTACAGGTACACGAGACATCCTACAGGTACACGAGACATCCTACAGGCACACGAGACACCCTACAGGTACACGAGACATCCTACAGGTACCCGAGACATCCTACAGGTACTGAGACGAGACATCCTACAGGTACTCGAGACATCCTACAGGTACTCGAGACATCCTGGTACCCGAGACATCCTACAGGTACCCGAGACATCCTACAGGTACCTGATACATCCCACAGGCCACGAGACATCCCACAGGCACCTGAGACATCCCAAGGGCACGAGAGACATCCACAGCACAGGCTGAGATCTCACAGGTGCCCTGAGAGACCCTACAGGCACACGAGACACCCTACAGGCAATGGAGACATCCTACAGGTACCCGAGACATCCTACAGGTACTCGAGACATCCTACAGGTACCCGAGACATCCTACAGGTACCCGAGACATCCTACAGGTACCCGAGACATCCTACAGGTACTCGAGACATCCTACAGGTACACGAGACCTCCTACAGGTACATGAGACATCCTACAGGCACACGAGACACCCTACAGGTACACGAGACATCCTACAGGCACACGAGACACCCTACAGGTACCCGAGACATCCTACAGGTACCCGAGACATCCTACAGGTACTCGAGACATCCTACAGGTACTTTAGACACCCTACAGGTACTCGAGACATCCTACAGGTACACGAGACCTCCTACAGGTACACGAGACATCCTACAGGCACACGAGACACCCTACAGGTACACGAGACATCCTACAGCTATACAAGACATCCTACAGGTACTCGACACACCCAGTAGGACTTAATATCCTACGAAGTGAAGAAGCAGCAACAGCAGTATCCTTAGCTGTCCTGTGGGGGTCCTGGTGTAGTGTCCTGCTCTCACCCCTACAGGATATTTGGTGTTCCTTTGATGGTGATGATGATGATGATGATGATGATGATGATGATGATAATGATAATGATGAGGATTCTTCTTCTTCCTATCATCTTTTTCTTCTTCGTGGTCTTCCTTTTCAACCTCTTGTTTCTTCTTCTTCTTCTTTTTACTTTGTTCTCCTTCTTTATTTTACTCCCCTTTCTTCCTCTTTTTATTCTTCTTCTTCTTCTTCTTTTCCCTCTTTATTTTACTTCCCTTTCTTCCTCTTTTTATTCTTCTTCTTCTTCTTCTTCCTCACTTTACTCCTATTTTTTCTTCTTCCTCATCTTATTTTTATTCCCCTTCTTCCATACCAACAACCCCTCCCTCCCGCACCCCCCCTCCCCCTAACAATGACTGACACCCACAAACACCAACTCATCCCCACACAAACACCCCTCCTCTCCCTGAACAAACACCTCTCACTCACAAACACTTCCCTAACCACACAAACACTCCTTCTCTCCCTGAACAAACACCTCTCACTCACAAACACTTCCCTAACCACACAAACACTCCTTCTCTCCCTGAACAAACACCTCTCACTCACAAACACTTCCTAACCACACAAACACTCCTCTTCTCCCTGAACAAACACCTCTTATTCACAAACACTTCTCTCCCTGAACAAACACCTCTCACTCACAAACATTCCTTCTCTCCCTGAATAAACACCTCTCACTCACAAACACTTCCCTAACCACACAAACACTCCTTCTCTCCCTGAACAAACACCTCTCACTCACAAACACTTCCCTAACCACACAAACACTCCTCTCCCTGAACAAACACCTCTTATTCACAAACACTTCTCTCCCTGAACAAACACCTCTCACTCACAAACATTCCTTCTCTCCCTGAACAAAAACCATAACTCACAAACACTTCTCCATATACACAAACAACACTATCAATAGACAAACGACACCTTAAAAACAAAAGCCCCCTTACCTCACACAAACAACCATTCCATACAAACACAAACAATATCCCTTATAAACAAGCCTCCACACCCACAAATAATCCTCCTTTCTAGGCACAAACAACGCCCCTTAAACAAACACACCCTCGAACACTCACAAACACTAGAAATCAATTAAAAAAAAGGCAGAAAAATATCGTGTTTCTCCCAGGTGGTTCTTGAAGGCGGTGTGGCCTAAGGTCTTGCAGTGCCAGCCGCGTCGGAGGCTGCCCTGGGAAAAAAAAACTCCAGTATGTCCTGTAGCAGCTGAAGAGATGTAGTCATTAATGCTGCCTGATACATGGAGAGGGAATGGAGAGGGCTAGGTAATGGTGGTGGGGGCTGGAGAGGTGCCTGGTGAGGGGCTGAGTAATGGTGGAGGGATACAGAGGGGTAAGTGTGGGTAGTGGTGGAGAGGGCTGGGTAGTGATGGAGGGGGCTGGATAGTGGTGGAGAGAGCTGGATAGTGATGGAGAGGCCTGGGTAGTGTGGGGAGGGCTGGGTAGTGATGGAGGGGGCTGGGTAGTGGTGGAGAGGGGATGAAGAGGGTTGAGTAATGGTAGGTAGTGGTCGAGAGCTAGTGGAGTGGGCCAGAGAGGGCTGGATTGGATCAAGCAGAGTAGGGTGAAGGGTAATGAGAGGGAAGGTAGTAAGAAAGGAGGCGGGGAGAGGAGTAAAGAAAGGAAGAAAGAAAGAAGAGAAAGGAGGAGTTGGAGGAGGAAAAATAGAGGAGAGACGGACAGAGAAGGAAGGAGGGGGGGAGGAAGGAGGGAAGGGAGGAGGGAGGGGAGGAAGGGAGGGGGGAGGGAGTGAGGGAGGGAGTGGTATAGAGTGGAAGGGATTGATAGGATAGGAAAGGGGAATGAAGGGAAATGGGGTCAAAAGTAGGGAGGGAAAGGGGGAGGGAGAGGAAGGGAGGGCGAGATGGTGAGGGCCAAAGGCTGTTCTTCCCTCTTGGTAGCGCTTGAGAAGGATCATCTTAACTGACCACCTACTTCCCCCTCTCTATCCCCCCTCCTACCTGCTTGAACCCCCCTCCCTCCTCCTCCCAGCCCCCCTCCCTCTTGCCTGCTTGTCCTCCTCCTCCTCCTCCCTGCTTCAATCCCTCTTGCCTGCTTGTCCTCCTCCTCCTCCCTACCTCTTTCTGCTTGTTACGTTACAAACAAAAGTAAACAATCAACTTGGAGCAAACTACAACACTTACAATACGTTTAACTCTTTTAGTGTACAATTAGGGTAGACAACCTGTATGCAAACAAAATAAATAAATAAATAAATAAATAAATAAATAAATAAATAAATAAAATAAATAAAATAAAATAAATAAATAAATAATAAATAAAAAAGACCTGCCCCCCAAAATGTTAACAAAACCTAACCTAACCTAGCGTAGAATTATTAATAAAAGGAGGCACCAGTACTTTCCTCAGGACTTCAGAATAGTGACACAAATTCAGGTTAGAATTTATCATTTAGAATCGAAACTAAACCAAGATAAAAATACATCTATACAATATATCATCTGGGAGAGAAAAGTTGACATGTGGTGCACTGAAATATATACATTGTATGGACATTAAATCACCTGGAAATTTGTTTGTGTATTGTACTAAAACACTTAACCTAACCTAACCTAACCTAACCTAACCTAACCTAACCTAACCTAACCTTACCTTACCTTACCTTACCTTACCTTACCTTACCTTACCTTACCTTACCTTACCTTACCTTACCTTACCTTACCTTACCTTACCTTACCTAACCTAACCTAACCTAACCTAACCTAACATAACCTAACCTAACCTAACCCAAGACAAGCCAAGCCAAGCCAAGCCAAGCCAAGCCAAGCCAAGCCAAGCCAAGCCAAGCCAAGCCAAGCCAACCTAACCTAACCTAATATCTAGTGTGTAAAACTAACACTGTGTACTTACCTTCTACTGACGCCTCAACCTGTAAAACATAAACCAGTGTTAGATACAAGGTTTTATTTAACAGGTTTAATGAATATTTATTCTGAGATTAAATCCATAAAGAAATCAGGAATTAAAATCTATTATTCCATCCAAAATGTTAAAATAATGTTAAAATTCCACTGATGTTTAATGCCGCTGATTATTTAACATCCATTCTTCAGGTACCAAAGACCTTCAGTGATTACTACAGCTAGGGGGAAAGGGAGGAAGGGAGACAGGGAGGCAGGGAGGCAGGGAGACAGGGAGACAGGGAGACAGGGAAGAAGGGAGAAAAGGATATGTCTACAGGAATTTCTCTCAGGTAGACCAAAGATAAAAAGATCTCCCCCAATACTCAATATATTCCCTTATATAGAACTAATATTATCCCAGTGTTTAAGAGGATGATGTTCACCTCTGATGCCGCCCCTTAATGCTTCACACAGACACATACACATATGCATCCTTACCTGCAGAGGATACATGTGTGGTGTAGTGAGGATTTTGCAGCGTGTAGTAGGGCCTATTGTGTGTGTGGATGTTGCAGCGTGTATTAGGGCCTATTGTGTGTGTGTGGATGTGAGGATGTTGCAACGTGTAGTGTTGTGTGTTACATCGTGAGTGAGGTAGTATAAGGCTGAATTGCACTGTGTTGCATCGATTGCTATGTTAAATCGCCTGTGTTGCATCATTTATTGCATCATGGTTGACTGAGTGTTACAGGAGTGTTGATCAACGAAATACTTTTATCCTGTGTTGCACAGACCTACCGACCTGAGTGTGTTGTACAAACGGTATTGCAGTGATTGTTGCATTAAATCGCCTGTGTTGCATCAGTTACTGCAGAATGAATGACGGTGTGTTACATTAACGAGTGGTGACCGGCCAGAAGACTGTATTGTACTGTACAGGTGTTGGACAAGTAACACAAGTTGAGAAGAACTTTGTAGCCCCCTCTCACACACACACACACACACACACACACAGAGGTACCACCAATACTATAGTACATACCAACTTTAAATACACCCCCACCCCACACGTACAGACACTAACACGCACTGTCAGGAAGGTAATTCACTCCTCACCTCAGCCATCTGCTCCCAAACTACACATTTTCCTCTGCCTCGGAATTTTTTAAAGAATTCACGAGGCAAATTCTCTCTCCTGACTGCTGGGGAGTGTGATGGCGTATTTAATTGCCTCACTTTGAGCCTCGTACACGGAAATAGCATCTACAATGACGGACTATGTTTAGCTTACCTGAAGCTTAAGACACCCCAGTTTATTTCACCTGGAGATTAACCGCCCAAACGCTAACCTAACCTAACCTAACCTAACTTTAACTTACCTTGACTTACACTAACCTTACCTTATCTTACCTAACACTTCCCTGCACCTGCTCTATCCTAACCTAACTTAACCTAACTCAACTCAACTCAACCTAACCTAACTTAACCTAACCTAACCTACCTTGCCCTAAATAGTTCCTCTTCGGGTAAAATAAACCGGGATACCTAATCTTCAGGAGATACCAATGTTTAAGTGTCCTTTAGTTCCTAGTTACGTCATGATAATACCTTCTAAAATAACGTACTGTACGTAAATGTGTCCTTATGTTACGTACGATGCCTTGAGAACCTGGGGAGAATAAGTCCGTTTCTCTCTCTTACGATATTAACACAGACACCACATAATGCGCGGTGTGAGGGGAGATGAGGGGAGTATAAGGCACCTCCCTCATCCACGGTGTGAGGGGAGATGAGGGGGGGCATAAGGCACCTCCCTCACCTTCATGCACGGTGTGAGGGGAGATGAGGGGAGTATAAGACACCTCCCTTACCCTCAAGATATCAGGACTGACGCATTTTTTAGTTTAATAAATTTATTGGCAGAGCTTGTAGTACAGTTTGCCTATTCTGAGTAATTCAGTCAGGTCTTGACACTGAGGGTGGTATCACTTCTCACTGCCACGCAGGACAGAGGTTCATACACAAAGAAATACATCATATTCATTAACAGCTATAAATGTATAGAGGTCAGATTCATATGGGTAATGTCACTGTTCACTGCCATGCAGGACAGAGGTTCGTACACAAAGAGATGCATCATATTCATTGACAGTACATATACATATATGTACACACACACATACACATACATACATACACATATACATACACATATACATACATATATATATATATATATATATATATATATATATATATATATATATATATATATATATATATATATATATATATATATATATATATATATATATATATATATATATATATATACATATGCACACATACACACATACATACATACATATGCGTCGGTCAGATTCGTGTGGGTAATGTCACTCTTCACTGCCATACAGGACAGAGGTTCGTACACAAAGAATGCATCATATTCATTGATACTATGTATAGGTCAGATTCATGTGGGTAATGCCACTGTTCACTGCCATACAGGACAGAGGTTCGTACACAAAGAAGGAAATACATCATATTCATTAGCAGCATGGGGCTGACGGCTGCTACACACCGTCTGTCAGCACCAACACCTGACGATTTACCGAGACTAACACCTTATTTAGTTCATTCCCTCCTGATGGCGGCTTGATGCTCACCTGTTCAATGACTTATTTCCCTTTTTTTCCTTTTTCCCTTTTCTTTTTTCCTTCTTTGTATTGTTTATGTTTACGTGGGACTTACAGTGAGTTGGTGAGTTTACGTGGGATTTACAGTGAGTTGGTGAGTTTACGTGGGATTTACAGTGAGTTGGTGAGTTTACGTGGGATTTACAGTGAGTTGGTGAGTTTACGTGGGATTTACAGTGAGTTGGTGAGTTTACGTGGGATTTACAATGAGTCGGTGAGTTTACGTGGATTTACAGTGAGTTGGTGAGTTTACGTGGGATTTACAGTGAGTTGGTGAGTTTACGTGGGATTTACAGTGAGTTGGTGAGTTTACGTGGATTTACAGTGAGTTGGTGAGTTTACGTGGGTTTCACGTGGGATTTACAGAGTTGAGTTGTGTGAGTTACGTGTGAGATTTACAGTGAGTTGAGTGTGGGAGTTTGAACGTGGTGAGTTGGTGAGTTTACGTGGGATTTACAGTGAGTTTACGGTGAGTTTACGTGGAGAGTTTACAGTGAGTTGGTGAGTTTACGTGGGAGTTTACCTTTGCGTCCGAGTTGGTGAGTTTACACGTGGGAGTTTACAGTGCGGCATTTACAGTGAGTTGGTGAGTTTACGTGGGATTTACAGTGAGTTGGTGAGTTTACGTGGGATTTACAATGAGTCGGTGAGTTTACGTGGATTTACAATGAGTTGGTGAGTTTACGTGGGATTTACAATGAGTTGGTGAGTTTACGTGGGATTTACAGTGAGTCGGTGAGTTTACGTGGCTCGCTTATGGGTCCTCTGCGCACCTCCACCGCGCATGTTTACATTGTATTGGCGGGAAAACGAGTGTCTGTGTGTGTGTGTGCTAACGTCGCCTGTCACAACAGAGGAGACCTTGTTGTTGCTGTTCTTTTACCTCAGGGATAAATTGCGAACGCCTTTGGCAACACAACAAGGACAGGTTAAAAAAGAAGAGATTATTTAGCCAGATTGGATAATTTAGCTTAGCCAGGCAAGAGAGAGAGAGAGAGAGAGAGAGAGAGAGAGAGAGTATAAACAGTCATCTCCAGGTGTAATGTTACGCCCTACAGTGCCTCCCTCGCTAATGTGGCACCGTGGCACTGCTCTTGAAGCACCGTGTGGCACTCCTCCTCACCTGCCACACGTCGCTTCACCTGTGTACCTTAATGCCCAATCAATTAACATATGAACACACCTGAACCAAAACTTACCTGTGTTAGTACAAGCATCATGGCCAATTAATTAACACACCTGGACCAAAACTTACCTGTGTCAGCACCTGTTTTCAGACCTAAGGCAAAATCTCTCTTAACTATCACACTACTTGAGTTACGGTTCCTGGTGTGTCCTGCGTCGCCCCGAACATACATACATACATACATACATACATACATACATACATACATACATACTGTACATACATACTGTACATACATACACCTCAGATATAAAAATGTTAGATTACCTGAGGATTAAATACCCTATTATACCCCCAGGTAGTGTTAAGGTATTCAATCATCAGGTGAAATAAGCTGGGGTGTCTAATCTACAGGTGATCCCATGAGTCTGTCGCTGGGTTACTGAGAACAACATCTGCCTCCAAGAACTCATCCCTCTGTTGATCTGTCCTGTGTTGATGTATCGTCCAGTTCTCACCTGTTTGTGTGTCTGTTTGCCCTTGTGGTGTTTGTGGTGGTGGTGGTAGTGGTGGTGGTCAAGTGTGGTGATGGTATGTGGTGTTAGTGGAGGAGTATGGTGGCGGTGGTGGTAGAGTTTGGTGGTGGTGGGTGTGGGTTAGCAGTGGTGGTACCTGTGGTTGTAGTGGTACAGGGAGGATGGGAGCAACAAATTGACGGAGGGTGGAGTAGGTGAGGGTGGAGTAGGTGAGGGTGGAGTAGGTGAGGTTAAAGTAGGAGGGGGCGTAGAAGGTGGGGGTGGAGTAGGTAGGGGTATAGGAGGTAGGGGTATAGGAGATTGGGGTGGGTGTAGGGTGTACTGTGTGGCCGGGAGGGGTGTGGGCGTTGGCTGGCTAGCATGGTGTATGGCAGGTACTTGGTGGGCTACAGCTGCCACTCCTTCAGGCCCCCTACTGCACTCTACACCTCCTAAAGCCCCACCAACGACACCTTCCCCAGATAACAGTTGTAAACGATCGCTTTCCCGACCAAACTGTGGGGAATGGATCATTCTGTGATACTCGAAGACCTTATTAGGAAGAAAGTGGTGCGTGCGTGTGAGGGAGGTGCCCGTGGTCGACGACACTTGGTCTCACTTAATGGCCACGTCGGCCGTGTTTCTCAACTCCGGGGGAACATTCTGGGCTCTGTTTATCTCCCTCA